AAAAGGGCGCATTTGCCAACAACTGCTGTAAATTGCGCCAGGGGGATGGCGCAATTAGAACCCAATTGCGCCCTATACTTTAACATGGCTAAGCGAATGAGACGGAATGCATACACCCCGGCAGTCTACATAATGTCATTGCGGCTTACTTTAACATTCATAATGTTATTCACGCTGGTTAAATAATAAATGTAGGTGTAAATCGTGATGTTTTTTTTTTTTTTGCCCAGGTAGATAACTTTACATGTGTTCGTACGCTTGTAAAAGTGCAACGAAAACGTTTACTGTAACCGACTAGATATATGTGAACGTATGCGCCTATACGGTTATATTTCCAATCGCTTCTCTCAAAATTAATAATTTTTATTGTTTCGACAGTTTTATGACATCAGTTTTTACTTTTTTATCATAGCTGTCACCTCTCACGCCTGCGTCCATGTTGAAAATGTCGTATAGTTCGTAGCCTAAATGGCAGCTGCATTATAAGTTTGACGAGAGAAATACCGGGTGTCCCAAAAGTAAGGTCATCATTTGTTTTGGCCACACTGCCAAAAATACGCGATGGATAGATATAAATAGGACATCATATGAAAGAGCATTTTATAAAATTTTATTCTGACATACATATGAGTCAATACATTGGCTCGTAGCCCCACATTTGCTGCTTTTCTACATGGCTACCATTTTGGGCCGCGTGCATGAATAGACTACGTTTGACTTCCTCCACTATTCTGGAGCGATTCTCTGGTGAGATGCCGCCTATGTTTGCTCGAAGGGATCATCCTTTAGTTCTTCCCGGCTCGTTGGGTTGTCCTAAAAGACAATCTTTCTGTTTTGTATCCAGAGAATAAAAATATGAAGGTGTAACGTCAGGTGACTGCGGAGGCCATTCAATGGCGTTGCCCTGACTGAAAATTACGGGATCTCACATCCACTCTCGGAGACAATGCATGATCTTCAGGACGGTGCAAGCATAGTCTCCATCCTGCTGAAACCACTGCTGGCTGATGGTGTCGGCACAGCTGCGTTGCGACGAGCGGAAGAACCAGTGGGAGGACTCTCGGCCACCTCTCTTGATTTATTGTCACCCGATTCCCGCTGTCGTCCTCAGGACCTCGAAGCACAGGTGGCTAAGTATACATGCCCTGTGCGTACATTATACCTTTTTTCTGACGTTTTACCGGTTGAGGCGAAACTATGCATGAGTTCAGAGATAGGGCGAGCTGATAGGGTCTGCTTAGGGCCGAAAACTGGGCGGTATTTACCCTTTGTTTTAATGACGGACCCTCTCTAAGAGTTGAATTTCGACCTTCTCAGTTTTATGCCTACTGCTCGGTGTAGTTATGATCAAAAATGGTTTAAGCATGCAAGAAAATAATTTTATGGATGTACCTTGCACGTGTTAAAATTGGAAGTGATTCGGACTCTTACTTCTCGAGATATTTAAGTTTTAAATCATGACCTTACTTTTGGGACACCCGGTAATTTGCGGACTGACGACAGCGGGTTGCTCCCCTGCCTGACATTAAACTCCTTCTTTATTGCAATCAGTTAATGATGCATTCATGCTGTCGTGATATACAATAGCTACACCATTTTTCTATTTGCGCCCCCCTGGCGCAATTGCCATGGGCGCAATTAAAATTGAGGTACTTTTTAATAAAAGCGTGGAAGTTATCACAAAGATGTTGAAGGAAATTAACTGTTTTAGTGAAATATAATGAAAAAAGGTTTTTCTTTCTAAATATCACTCTGACAATCACACAAATATCACACATTTTTATAGCCAACGGTTCAAAACACTGCAAAAAAGCTAAGAAAACGCCGTAACATCTTTGATGGCGTAATGAGCCTTGCTGATTGGCTTCATCGGGGAGCTTGGGCCATAAAAGGAACTATCCAGTGGGGAAAATGATGTTTTCGAACACAAAATTCAAAGCATGCCATTGAATCCGTGGGAATGTTGGTGGGCTCAATTGGTTAGGAGGGCGCAATACACCCACTTTCCCCTAGCCATCAATCGAATATATCTTTATTTGCACAATGTGCAATTAACGATTCGTAGGGTAGGTACCAAATAATTAATGCAATTTACATGCCTGCATGTGTGGATACAGGACGAAAGCCGTCAGCGCCGCCTTCATTCGGACGCATTTATTATGCTGTTTTCCTAAGAAAATCTGATACTCTTTTGTGTCAGATTTCAAGCTTTGCCGTTTTAGTGGAGTTAAAACGATCATTACTGACATTACGTTTGATTTTTTCCACATTAGGGGCGTTCCACGACAAATCGACAAATAAAAAATTAAATTTGCACCATCATATGTTATTCTTCGTTGAAAACTGGTGTAAGGGGTGTGATGGGCGGGGAACCCAGCTGTGGCAAGGATTTTTTTTCTTCGAACAACGGTTTCCGAGATATAGCCTCGGGCAATTCCGATTCCAATTCCGATCATTTTCAGGTCAGGTCAAAGATGACGTCACAGGAGCTAAAAGGAAGTCAAAATGCGGCACTATACATATATATGAAGTTTTTCTCAAATAACTTTCAAGGTATCCCAGCTAGGAACAAACTAATAGCACCATCGTGATCCTCTCGTCGATCCGCATCGAAACATATGTATGTTGACCTCGAAAGGTCGAAAGGTCAAAAGTTGACCTTAGAATTTGACCAGATCTGCACCAAATCTCTTTTGTACAAATATCTTCATATCATTAATTTATTTCGGTGTTTTAATCCAAAACAATATCTGATAATAATACAAGTAAGGTATATAAGCATGTGTGCAACCCAATCTGATAACATCCCGCGTAGAGTTGCAAAATTTCCCTACCGCACTACCGGCATGCCGGTAATTTTTTACTACCGCAGGTTTTTTCGTGGTATTTGGCATGTCCTGCCGGTGGCATGCCGGTATTTTTGATTTTGCATTATGATATTTGCATAATTTGATTAGATTATGTGATTAAGAACGCTTGTTGTGGTAAATGTGATTGCTGCTCACTCTGCAGTCTTCAGAAACACATTTCAGTAATTCAAGTTCTTTTTGACCTTGCTTTTTCGATGAATGTGTTAATGCTTTTTGTAGGCAATACCTCTTTGATTACATGTGATATTTTAACAGCTGTAAACTGGAAATGAGTTTCAAAATTGTGGTATTTGTGGGGCCAACTCAGCCAAAATCAGGCTGCTGGAGTTTTGGTTGGACAATGGGTGGCTGCTGGGTGGGGCGGTTACTGAAATTGCCAAAATGTGGCATCTCATGTAGGGGTAAGCCAGAATCAAGAATGCAGGTTTTTTAGTATGCCGGTAATTTGGCGGTGTTTTTGCTTGGGGCGTGGTAGCATGCCGGTATCCCAGAAAATTTTTGTGGGGCGGGGCGGTGCCGGTAGCAGCCCATTGGGAAAACTTTGGAACTCTAATCCCGCGCCCCAGTGGCGGTCTCAGCCAACTTCGCCCTAGTGGGAGGGGGGGGGGGGCATATGTTACCACCCACCTCTAACTCAAAAACTAAGAGGGCTAGAAAGATGCAGTAAAAAACAGTCGATAGCTCTCGATGCGTACGTTTGAAAGTATTTGGGTCATTTTTCATCTTAAAGCAATATTGGGGTCACCAGAGGTCATCAAAGGTCAAAATTTGCGAATTGTCATCATAACTTTCAGAAAACATGCCATTATCTCAGGAACTATGATAGCTAGAAAAACGCTGGGAAAAGCAAATGATAGCTTTTGAGCTCTTCTTTTGATAAGGTCATAATCAAAAATGACCTCAGGTCAGCGGTTTAGCCTCTAGAGGACCAAAACTCCAAAAATAACTGTTTTTACGAAAAGTGTTTTTCGACAATAACTTTTGACTAAAAAAAAGCTATGACATTTCTATTGCCAGAATCGTGTTCCTCTTGCCGAGACGCGTCGAATTAACTATAATTTGACCTTGAAAAGTCAGCTTCAAAATTTGAGCTCAGGTCAAGGTCATGACCTGACCGGAATAGGTCATGCTGCATATCAGTCGATGCGTCTCGGCAAGACAAACACAATGAGGCCAACCCCAGCGTTCTATCTCTTTCCAATCGAGAGTTATTGGCAAAAAGCTGTGTGTAGCCTCAAATGACCTCGGATGACCTTTGTAGAGGCTATCAGCACGCGTCGTCACGCGTGGTCCAAATCATTATGATACTGAAATATTTGGACTGTTCCTATGCGTACACACGGATCTAGAGGCATTTTCGTTTTTCTCCATTGACTTATAATGGAAAGGTCACGCCACTGACCTGACCTTAGGTCACGCATATAAAAAATCCGAGATATACAAATTGTAGGCACCCATAACATCATGCAATCCACCGAGTTTAAAACCTCTGTGACAAACACTGCAGGCTTGACATGATTGCAAACTTTTTTAGCCTTGGTCAGTTAACTTGACCTGTTGACCTGACCTGACATAATTTGGGGTCAAAAATTTCACACATTGTCCAAAATTGATGTGCAAAAAGCTACTCCAAGCGGCGCGGCGCTAGCGCCGCGGTTTTTTATTCACACGCAAAAAACGCGACAGGGTGGTAACATATGCCCCCCCCCCCCCAATGGGGCGAAGGAGTGAACACAATGAACCTAATTTCACCAAATCTACACTAAACGTGCACCTAATCTACACCAACTGAGTACCAGATGGCCGTCATGAAAACGGCTAATACCACCGCCCCAAATGCATTCTCCTTGAAATACCAAATACCAAGTTGATATCGTTTTGGTATCGGTATATGCCAAAAAGTTGGTATCCGATTGACATCTCTAGTCCCCTATACACTACGCAGTCCACGATCCTCCGAGACACACAGGTCATGTGCACCATACGGGGGCCGGGCCGGCCGGGCCGACCTGCCCTGTCCGGCGGGCCGACCTGCCCTGTCCGGCGGGCCGCCCTGTGACGTCACAGCTCGGGTCAGGTAAGTCGAGTCGGTCGGTGTCGGCCGGCGCGGCGCGGCCCCGGGCGGATCGCGGTAGTAGCCGGCGGGCGTCGCTGTCGCACGGACCGGCGAGGGGCGACAGGGACAGGACCGGGGGCCGACGAAGCCGTGACGGTACTGAGCGCCGGGGCGCAGTAGCGAAGCCGCTGTGAACTGGTGCAAACTGGTACTGTGGTGTGGCACGGTGCTGTTCCGTGGTGCGAACAAAAATGTTTTTAGCCCCTCCACTAACCGAGTGCTGATCTGTGAGTTGTGACCCGCGGCACACTTTCCATCATACACACGTTCCTGAGCAATCCCCGCCGTAAATAGGTACTCCCTCCCAAACTCCGTAGTTGGGACGGTCCACCGCATTCTTCTGTCCCCTGTCCGGGTACCGTCACCCGCTGTGAACGCCAGCTACTTGTGTGTCGTCTCCTGGGCGCCGCGGCTGTCAGGGACCCCCGGGAGCTGGGAGTCAGCCGGGGCGCCGGTGCCTGTCGGGAGGGCCGCCGGGGGCGCGCGGCCGGGCGCCGGTGCCAGCGCCGCCCCCGCCGCTGCCCATGCATCCGGCGTGTCTGCTACTGGTGTTCACGCTGCTGCTGACTACGGCCGCCACGCTGCTGCTCACGTACGCCGAGCTGACCGACAACTGGGAGATCATCCGGTTCGACCGGGCCAGCGTGCAGCGCACCGTGGACGGCCTGAACGGCACGCACAGGTCGGTCTGAGAGGGCAGCGGGACGGGCAGGAATGGAATGGGAGACATCGGAGATGAAATTAAGCAATGACTTATGTTTACCAAAATAGTAGCCGTTAACAATGAAGCAGCTACTCAGGTCTAGCATATTCTGGTAGAAGGTTTTTGTGTGATCAGCTTGCATATTCCAAGGTACCGTTTAAATTGACCTAGAATACTGCATATCCGGTGACCTGATCCTAAATAGGTCATGATCAAGCATTACATAATTCATACGCTTCATACCTACTGTTTATATTCATCTGTTGGGCAGCAGAAGCTTAGGACAGAAACAGAATAGGATAGAAATTCCGATGCACATTGCTATTCTGGGATACAAATACGCCAAAGATTCTCTTATGGAACCCTCGAAATCTCTCGGAACTCAGCCGATCATAACAAATTTAAGAGGCACGCAGCTCGTCCAACTACCGCATCAACTCCGACTGTTGTTGTTTGCGGGTACAACAGTGACGGGGCAGTGATTTCCGCTGGCCGGCGACGGTGTCGAGATCGCGTGCCACGGCGCCGTACGGTGCGGGCTCTGTCAGTCGGTCCCGGCGCGTGCCAGGGCGGCCGGCCCTCGGCGGCCGGACGCGGGTCCGGCGGGCGGTAGTGGTAGGTGGCGGCCTGGGCGGGTGTTTGGAGGTCATTTGAATATTGGTTTGTAATAACTTGATAGCTTGTGGTTCAACGCGTATGACAAAATGGTTCTATAGAACCATTTAATATATTGAACCGTAGTGAAATGTGTTTTTACTTTGATCTTTGTACTGGTCGAGACGGCAGCGCGCGGCCGGCGTTTCGTCTCGGCTCGGCCACGGTCTAGTTTGTCGCTCGTCCACTACCGTCTCCTCGCCGGGGGACCGTTTACAAACGCAGTCGCTTTGTCACTGACGGTCGCTCCGGTTCTCCCCCGGGAACGAAACATTAGTCTTGTGCCGACTTCTGCGTCGAGGAATTCTCCAGGACTTGAAAGAAATTGCCTTCCGTAATTCGACAAAGTACGAGATCACTGACCACGTTGTTGCAGATACCATGCAACATAAATCATGTAGCTCAATACGAGGGAATAGGCGTCGTTGTGTCGAATCAAAGACATCAACATCGTTCTATTTCCTCTCCATCTCTTTCTCTCTTCTTTCCCACTTAATTTTGCCCTTTATTCCTTTCTCTCTTGCGTTTTCTATCATGCGTAGACCGCAGTTATTACTCAGAACCGTGCAACTGCAGCGCAACCTTGAAAAAAGAATGAATCGTTCAGTCTAGTTGCTCGAAACTAGAAAGTCATAACAATTATAGGTATCACTACCCAGTAACAATCAACCTTGCACATGCGCCTCAATTGTGCCACTTAGGTTTGCCCATGTCCAGCTGTGATTTATTGGTAAATACATTAGTATGGTTCATGCATGCTCAGACTTTTAAAGTAGGACTGTCTTTATTCCATAAGCGTCTACGGTGCAGGGTCCTGTAAATAGTTGATACGGCTGCTGTCGGTTATTGAATCCATGGCCGTCCCAGACGCCTCCCCGGTTCGTGAGGGTCGGTCTGTGGGGCCGTCTGTATCAATAGCTGTCCATAACTGACCACCTCCTGTGTGATTTCAGTCTGGAATGGATACTGGACGACCAGGTGGGCGTGGTCACCATTGACGGCGAGCAGCCCGACAACAAAACAGTCTTCCTGGTGCCCATGAACGGCGGAATCTGGACACTCTGCGTGTCTCTGTCAGGTGAGAAATCTGGACACTCTGCGTGTCTCTGTCGGGCGAGAAATCTGGACGCTATGCGTGTCTCTGTCAGGTGAGAGGGGCACAGGACACCGTGTTGCTGCGATCGCTGTCTGGCGAGGGAAATCTATGTCTGTATAAAAGTGTGTGTATCTGTACGCACTTAAAAGGTGATTCGTTTTCGGCACAGCGTGGTCCAGCTACGAGTATCAAAACTTGTTGCCACTTCTTTTTTCCTCCTCCCGACAGGTGCACATGTCCTGATCGACTAGATTAGCGTGGAATGGATTAGCGTATGGAGTGATAGGGCAGCCGGGTCACTAAATCTTTGTTGCCTATTTTTTGTTTTTTTTTTTTTTGTTTGTGAAAATGTTTCTCTACAAGAAATACTAAGCATGAGTGAGCAGATACGCTACAAGATGCTGATCAGAGAATTCATAGGTACTATAGTTAAGTGTCTATTTGCAAGATATTGGAAACTTAGGTAGGTACAATAACCGACTTCCTATACCTGACACCGCCCGAGCTTATCGCAGACAATGTGGGTAGTCTGCTCACAATGGTGTTAATCACCCCATATCGGCCCGGTGACGAGGTGCGAGTCTGTCGGCGTTGTCTCTATCGCCGGCGGGGGGCCGTCCTGATCCGTCGGATCGATCCCTGACGCCATGCAGTATGCATATCACACGGCCAATCTCTCAGTGGCCGATCGGCAGCAACACGCGCTCCCTGCCCCGGATAATTACCCGAGCTGCGCGCAGCAACACAGCAGGAAACAGGGCTGCCGTGCTTCTCCCGCCGGTTGCAAATTGCGCTGGCTTATGTGGACTTCTTCTGTCGGCTTTTTATCTGGCACGGTCAGACACAGTCAAAGTTAAATCATTGGAATCGATGGACTAACGCTCTTCGAGAACCTATGATAGGTTTCTTTTCTTGCCGACTGGTCTCCAGAACTGGGCTCAGTGCGTCTCCATACCTATATCCCACGTATCTATCTGTTTGTCAATAAATGGACGTTTGCTTAACTTACGGCTTTTACCAAAAGAAACCACGCGGAGGTAAAGTATTGCCATTTTCGGGAGCATTCAATACTGATCAATTTGGTACCGTTCACCTATTGGCTTTGGAACAGAACATCCGTTCTGGTTCAAAGCCAAGCCCACAACAAATCACGTTAGCTCACAAAACACACGTGTCTAAGCATCGCAAAGCAGTTATAATGCAACCACCGTGCATTGTATGTACTAGGAACATCGCGCACTATCTCTGGAATTGAATCCGATCAAATGTGTGGCGCCGAGCTTACGTCACGTCTAATGTCTCTGGGACTCGGATGTCTCCGTGGCCATAATGCCTGAAAATCGGATTCATTTAGCTCATTCCGTCTCAATGCCTCGGCGGGCTTTGAAGCGTCCCGTCGGCATACGGCTCTGAGAGCCGTCGGACGGCCGGCCGGTCCGGCGCCGTTTCAGGCAGGGTATTCAATCGGCAGGGCCCGCGGCCAATGTAGGGCCAATGGCGGCGCCACGAGACTGTGGAACTCGGATTGGCCGCTCCAATAGTCGGCGTGGATGTCACCCGATAAGGCGAATAATCACAGTCACGTGACACCGAATTCGGGCGGGGTGCCAGCGCTCACACCGTGCTGCGAAATGGGACGTACGGCGCCGCTATAGTGCTCTGCTAATGGCTGTAAACAGTGGAGAAAAATCATCCGTTGTGAATGAAATCATTTGAGCTTAATCTTCAATCCAAATCAAAACACGAAATAAACACACCTGCATGCTTCGCTGCAATACCGCTTATTAATGCTGCCAGATTGTTACAAACAACATCTTTAAAATGTATCTGTCGTCTTAAATCCTTGACCTCGCTTCGCTGCAGCGAAGATTACTTTCTTTCTCAAGGGATGCATTGGCCTAAAGTGCAGCGAGGAACACTCTGATTAATGATAAAGAAAATTGCTCCTTGTGGCACGATGACAAACTACTGGTAAACGAGCAGAAATGCGGCCATGAGACGTGTGGCTGTAAAATTATATCAGTAGCAGTTTACCAGAAAAGCATTAGGGGATGGAGGCCGAGAAATTATAACTGGATGAAGGTTAACTTTAACAACCATTGTTGCTATCACATAGACTTATAAAATGTCTTTTAATAACATTTTACACTTCTCCATATTTCTCACCCGCTTGGGTCTATGAACGGTTTGCGTCTAAAAACTATTTCAACTCTTTGTGCCCCATCGTTCTCAGTGATTCCCCTATTGTTGATTCTTAAGAGGTGAGAGAGGTAAAAGAAAATAAAAAATTACTAAACGATCATTTGTTTTTATAATGCAAAGGTAAAGGGCTCACATTTTCACAACTATCAAGAACACGTCTATAATAAATTAGTGTTACCTTTCCAAAAAATCTTGGTACCTGTTTGACTTCAGACGTGTACTTTTCATGCTCCAGCTTTCGTAAAAGAAAGTTATAATTGCTGCATGCGACGCTCCTCGCTACTCTGGCGTGGAAAATGCACGGTTCACTGCTGTACTATTCGTAGAAATATTCGCTGGGTCAAAAGTCTGACCTTTTTGAGGAAAGCGTGAATACTTAAACCCATGGCATTAGGACGATGAAGCATAGGTCAACGGCATGGCCTTAGGCCTGTGGCGTGTCAAACTGAACCACCTATACGAAGGCAAGCACGAGCCGGCTATTCGGTGAGACGGGTCAGCGAGAACTGACTGTGGAATGTGAAGGGCGCCCTGACCAGCTCACTCAATAAGCTCCCAAGGTATCTAGGGAGGACGTCTTGGCAATGATCCGGTGTGCCTGAAAATTTTTGAGTGACTTCGTGATGATCATTTCACCCGCAACGAATAGCTGAAATGATATCAGTGTTAAAATGGGAAAGAACTTTTCATTCCTGGTCAATCCAATTCCGTACAACTAATCCACCAGTGCAGCAGGCGGGTTGCATTCCGGACCGCCCGCTGTCGGCCGCTGTCGAGTCTCCGCTCTCACTGAGCACAGTTCATCCCGACCGCCTCGAGCGGCGGGCGGGGATCGTCTGTCACTCCCGTTGATGCGCGGCGTCCCGTCCGGACCCTCCGTCACCGACCGTCGCTGTAGATAGGGTGTCATCACCGCCACCTCGGCCGACCGACGGACGACCCTCGCCCGGAGACCGACCGGGAGGTGACCTCTCCCCTTTCTGGCGAGGGTAGCTCCTCCCCCTCCTGGCGGGAGCTGAATACTCCCTTCCCATGCCTAATCTCAGCCAACGACTTACCTCACGCCACGACATACAATATGGAAGGCTGCCTTCTGAGTGCAAAGGGAAAAACAAATCAAGGAAAAATGTTGTGTATTATGCTGTTGACCTCTTTCTTTTCAATGGGTAAAGAAAAGAGTGTGTAGGTACACTGCACAACCTATAATCCTGCTCGTCTAATGCTAGCAATCGGTCTTAATTCGGTTTCTAGCAAAAAAGAAGAAGCTTAGTTTGCATTTATCCACCAGACACGATGCGCCAGAGTAAAACCGCAAAAGCATGACTATGGAAGCGCAATGCCCAGATATCATCTATTGCTGAAAAGTGCGAGGTTGTTTGAGGAGACGACCTGGTGTAAGCCTAGCGTGGGGACGCCAGCCCAGCCCGGCGGGATGTTTCGCTGAGGGGCAGACGAGTTCGTTAAGCTGCGGCCAACTTCTCCGATAGAGGCTGAGCTCATAAATGGCAGAGGAGCACGACCGTCCCGGTCGGAAGGCGCAGCAAACTTTCACCACTGAGCGGCGGTAAGGGTCGCCGCTCAGAACGACACCGGTACATAACGGCACTGAGACACGAGACGGACAAACTCCGAGACACCGCTCCCAATTTGGACCCGTCCTGTTGCCCAGTGATAATCCGCTTTCAGAATTTTAATTGTGAAACACGCTAAAATTAGAGCGCTGAGAACTGGAGCCTGACGACAGACCGAGCTGCGCGCAACGGGCGGGGTTGGCGGCCCGCCGGGTGTAATGCGGCACAGCATAACTGCAGGCGGCTGACACTAGAGCCATCTAGGGGCAGGTATATGAACCTTTCACGTATCTGTTTGCTCGCGCGCCAAGGTGGATCGTTTTCTTAGGGAAGGATATTTATTTGCACGGTACCTACTACTTATAAAGGATAAGTAATATTTTCTTGGTGTTTATGATTTGCTTATAGAGTGATTATGATTTGCTTATACACGTAGTGGCTCACTCGGTACTTATGTAGACGACTTGTGGTTGCCGAGTTTCTCTGACGCTGTCATATCAAACATTTAGCGATACCAGAGCCCGCACACGCTTCTGTCGGCCCGTTTTAGTCGTGCCCTGTCCAGTCCAGTGTCCTCCCAGCTCACCTCGTTCTGTGTGTGCGACAGAGAGCCAGCGGCGGACACTGCGCGAAGAAGGTTTCCACCACCCCATGTGCACCAACTACCTGTCTCCGGAGCTGCTGTCACGCGGAGAGCTGCGAAACGACTGGATTCACAGTGAGTAAACGCCGACGACTGAATTCACAGTGAGTAACCGCCAACCACTGTATTCACAGTAAGTAGCCGTCAACGACTGGATTCACAGTAAGTAGCCGCCAACGACTGTATTCACAGTGAGTAACCGGGCTACGAAACGACTGGATTCACAGTGAGCAACCGGGCTACGAAACGACTGGATTCACAGTAAATGGCGGGACGATGGGAATGTACTCGCCGCCAGTTTAGAGACTGCGAAAATGTATTCCTGTCAGGTCGCAGTCAGAGAGACTCCATAAAACTGGATTCAGAGGTTTTTCGGACGGCAATGATGCTAGGATGGGCTATGGAAGCTGTAAGATGGCCATGAAGCCGTAAAATGACGGTGATATCGGGCTGAATGCGCTATGCAGTGTGGTGGCAGCCGTCAGTTGCTGATAACTGTATTGGCACCCGTCTGGATCGAACTGAGGACACAACCTCGTGATGTAGGAATGCCTCAATCGGGCTTTATAGTGATCCATGATCAACAACTTTTAAATGTCAAAAGCCCGACCTTGTTGCTTATAACTAACATGATTTTCATTTACATTTTACTATGTAGGAATCAAACAAATGACTTTGCCAGTGGTCGGTGAACACCAAATTGGCTGTAACTAAGCACATTTAGATTGTAGGCATGCCCGCATAGCCGTCTCCAAACGGCCGAACAGCCGTGCTAAGCGCCCACGACCCGGCCTCCAAATGCAGTGGCACGTGAGCTGAGCCAGTGACGGCGAGACCTACCGCGGAGTCTGAGTGGGCCGGTTCCTGGCGGTGACGGCGGCGCTGACAGTTTCAGCGGGCTGTGAGCTCCTCGGTGCGCCAGGTGACTGGCGATGTTGATTTCCCGAGTGGCCTGCTGCAGTGAGTCGGGCACAGTTCGCGGTACTGCCCGCTCGGCCGGACATTTATACGAGCTGTACCGTCTCGGTGAGCCATTCAGCGACTCGTAACTCGGCTCCGCGAGGTGCCGGTGGCGCGGAACCACCGCGTCCTGAGCCGGCGGGGAACCGTGACAACCCGCGGGCCAACAGAGTCGCGACAGCCAGCAGCGCAACAAAGCTGCGGCAGCCCACGGCGCTCCAACAAAGTGCCATGGCAGCAGCCCGAGGCCCAACAAAGAGCAGCGAACGGACGCTCAATCAGTCCGCGCAGGGAACTTCGGAGAAAAGCCGTGATAATTAATATGGCTAATGAAAGCCACCTGCCATTCCCCTTGAACTTGCCTACCGGAGACCGGAAACTCTGTGAGAATCTCTGGCTTTGATGTCGACCTTCCGCAGCACGATCCACTGAAAGGTCACATGTGACGACGGGACCCTCAGGCGCCCAGCTGGGTGCCCGGGTGTGCCCACTCCACTCACCGGTCCGCTGTTCAGGGCCTCTGTTCGGCCAGGTCACAGGGTGGGTCTGGCCGATCAGGCGAGACGCCGGCGTATTCTGAGCTCGGCTAATGGTGACGAATGGTCGCCGGCCGACGGACGGGGTGCGATGTGCCCGCGGCGGTCCCACCGGTGCTCGGCGGGAGTCCCGCCGCTGGGCCAGTCGTCTCAGGGGTGGGTGACTGCAGTGGTAATGGACATTGGACAAGGTGCTCCCTCGGAACCGGAAGAGCAAAGGGAGGGAACGAGGGAGCAGCTGCACGCGTGTGCAGTGGTGACTTTTTGTACCGGTCCAGCACGGGTCCAGGACATTAACCTTTTCAAAGATTTGCAACCACCCGTCTTTTTTAAGTGAGATACATGATTTGGTTGAAAACTTGAAATACCTACTTATTTATTACATGTGTTGATGTCGGTCTGTTTTCAAAATTGCAAAACATGCCCAAAACTGACAGAATATACCAACCTCAAAATATTTTCATGAGATTGAATTGTAAACGCAAAGAATGAAATGCACTGCGACCAATAACTCTTATGAATCAATAACCTCAACATTTACCTCAACACTAATTTTTATTTCCGAATGCTACGAGGGAGCACAAAATACCATACTCATTCGTCCCCGTTGACCTCGCCCTACCATCTGCCGGATATTGGTACATTTCAATCGGCGTGAATAGCCTTATTGACGATAGAAGCGTCACGGCTGCTGTCCGATGGGGCGGCTGGCGCTGCCCGGCACGTGACTAAATGCACGCGGCGCCCACGGTAAATGGCCGTACTACCTCACCCCCGATCGGGTGGGCCGATGACGGCGCGCTGCGGCGTCAACAAGCCGCCCCCGGTAGGATGACGAGCAATCGACCGGCTTCGCCGACCGGCGGCGCGCCAGAAATGTCTGTGGTCACGACCACCTGACCGGGCCGGGGGGGGGGGGGTTACCTGGTCTCAGCGGCTGCGTGTGTAGCGGCACGGCTGTGGCGGTGGTACCCGGAACACCTCTATCTGACAATGTTTTACGGTAATGTTATGTGTGACATGGAATGTTTATGTTGCGCTGTACCAGGTGTGCCGGTCGTTGGCCTTTCACACAGGGAGGTGGCAAAGAGCACCGCTGACGGTTATAATTCTCCAGTTTATTTGTACTAGCAATAACTTTAGAGGCGTTCCATGTGAATGGCTGATTTATATGTGAGAGCATGCCAGGTGTGCAGCCGTTATTTAGAGTCCATGGACTTACCTGCAGCGCTGCACCGGTGACCGACGAAACGCTTCTGTCTCGTCTTCTGAACCGCGTTGCGGCTGGTAACAGGCGGTGTTCTTTGGACACTTTTTGGAGTCAAGTCAGAGTCAAGATCCGAGGTTACAGAAAGTTTTAAAAACAACAGGAAGGGCCAGAACGTTCCGGAAAAAAATAATCAAAACCAGCAACGTCAGTCGTACCCAGTAAAAAGCCAATTCCAAAGACAGATAAAAGAAGAAATTCTTCCGATCACCCCCTATGCGGGTGCGTATTATTTAGGCCAGGGTTCATAATGTCCAGGGTACGATGTGTCCAGTGCTCGAAATGGCCAGTGCCTTGAATTGGCCAGTGTTCATATTGTCCAGGGTTTGCAGGGTCCAAATGTGGCCAACTGGCTGCAGATAGGGTAAATTCAAAGAGGCCAGGGTTCATAATGTCCAGGGCACGATGTGTCCAGTGCTCGAAATGGCCAGGGTTCATAATGTCCAGGGCACGATGTGTCCAGTGTTCGAAATGGCCAGGGTTCATAATGTCCAGGGCACGATGTGTCCAGTGTTCAAAATGGCCAGTGCCTTGAATTGGCCAGAGTTCATAGTGTCCAGGGATTACACAGTCAACCAAACCAAACCAAACCTAACCTAACCTAACCTAACCTAACCTAACCTAACCTAACCTAACCTAACCCAACCTAACCTAACCTAAGGTAATGATGTTTGCCTACCGGGGATAAGGAAATAGTTTCTCGCATGAATAGATTGCAAGCAATAGTAAATCAAATATTTTTAGGTTAAGTGGTTATGCATCAGGCTTCAGGCCTTCGGCAATCTGGCTTCAGGCCTTCGGCCTGAAGCCAGATACATAACCACTTAACCTAAAAATATTTGATTTACTATTGCCTGTAATCTCTCCTAAGGCATTGCCTTCGGCACTGCACTGCTTCGCATTGAGCTGGTTCCGTGTTTTTACATAATGACGTCACTTTCAATGACTATGTAATCCCTGGACATTATGAACTCTGGCCCATTCAAGGCACTGGCCATTTTGAACACTGGACACATCGTTCCCTGGACATTATGAACCCTGGCCATTTCGAACACTGGACACATCGTGTCCTGGACATTATGAACCCTGGCCATTTCGAACACAGGACACATCGTGCCCTGGACATTATGAACCCTGGCCTCTTTGAATATACCCTATCTGCAGCCAGTTGGCCGCATTTGGACCATGCAAGCCCTGGACATTATGAACTCTGGCCTATTCAAGGCACTGGCCATTTCGACACTGGGCATATCGTACCCTGGACATTATGAACCCTGGCCAGAATGAATGTTCCCCCCCCCCCTATGCACCCCCAATGACCAGTAGACCGTCCGCTGCCCACCATCCACCGTCCAGCGGGCAGTTGCCGCCTCAGTACCGTCCACCGTCCACCGTTCACTGGTGGGCAGTTGCCGCCTCAGCACCGTCCACCGTCCATCGTTCACTGGTGGGCAGTTGCCGCCTCAGCACCGTCCACCGTCCATCGTTCACTGGTGGGCAGTTGCCGCCTCAGTACCGTCCACCGTCCACCGTTCACTGGTGGGCAGTTGCCGCCTCAGTACCGTCCACCGTCCATCGTTCACTGGTGGGCAGTTGCCGCCTCAGCACCGTCCACCGTCCATCGTTCACTGGTGGGCAGTTGCCGCCTCAGCACCGTCCACCGTCCATCGTTCACTGGTGGGCAGTTGCCGCCTCAGTACCGTCCACCGTCCACCGTTCACTGGTGGGCAGTTGCCGCCTCAGTACCGTCCACCGTCCATCGTTCACTGGTGGGCAGTTGCCGCCTCAGTACCGTCCACCGTCCATCGTTCACTGGTGGGCAGTTGCCGCCTCAGTACCGTCCACCGTCCACCGTTCACTGGTGGGCAGTTGCCGCCTCAGTACCGTCCACCGTCCATCGTTCACTGGTGGGCAGTTGCCGCCTCAGCACCGCGCGCCCCTCGGAACGCCGACCCGGCAGTGACCTTTGCACGGCCCAGTCGTAACCCCGTCACCCAGCGCAGCCCCGGGCCAGTTCATAAGCGCAAAGTGGTCACTAGCGACCGATGAACATCGGCGAGTGTTCCAACTTTCAGCCGGGCCGTCGCTGACAGTTGGTCGCTACACTGGGTGACACAGCGGATGTTCATCGTGCATTTCACAGCACATGTCAAACTTCTGTCCTTCCGCAAAACCCCATACCTAATAGTTACAGACGTCAACGTTCACACCTAGTAAACTCACAAGCGCAGCCGATAACGATTCTGCGACCTCCAAATAATGACAGTAATCCCTCGGACGCTTTGACGGAACCCCGGCAAGGTCGAGACGGATCGATATTCGGGGGACATCGCTCGCCACCGCTGAGGGGCCACCGTCCCTCCCCCGTTGGATGGACTAGCCGACAGTTTGACCGTGGACCTGCTGTTGACTCGGTGGCCGTTGGGAAAGGCCGAGCTCGCAGGTGTGTCGATTCCGGCCTGCACGCACGGAGCGAACCGCCCCGACTCCTGACCCCTGACAAGGAGACAGAGACCACTAGAAGCTGTGCTACGGCACCGGAACGCACACCGGCTTCACCCGGAAATCAACTGATGAATGAGTAGAAGCCCCACAGGTTTGTGTGTGGATGTCAGGCCTGATATCACAGTGTGGGACCTGAGTTGCATTGATCCAACCTGCGCTACACCATTTTCAACTGGTCTGAGCCAACAGAGTGTCGTGACGGAATATGGCACGGGAATAAGCCGTCCTTCGTCCTCACCCACCTGCCACCGCTCCGGATGAGTGAGTGTTGTGGCAGATTACCACTCTAATCGCTACAACCAGCGCGGTGATAACGTTAGCACTGCTGCCGAACAGGCTGGTAAGCTGCTACAGACCGCACGGTTCCCGGCACTCGAGCTGTAGGCCAATTAGAGAGATTGGAGCGGCCGGCCGCAGCCGTTTGGTGGGACGGGGAGGGACAGTGAGGGCCGGGTGGGGATTGAGGAGCTCCACGAACCGTAAAATGGTGGCCAGGTGTGACCCAATCAATGGAGAGGTGGGCTTAATCTTATGGCAGCCTTGATTGCAATTAACTAATGCAGACTTTTGTAGTCGGAAATTACATATACGAAGTAGCACCTGCACATTAATTGTTTTGGTCCGGGGAGGAGGTCTGCAGACTGTTGAAAACTGATAATAGATTCATGGCAAGATTGACGTCATACAAGTAACGCCGCCAGTCTTCTGCGAAAAAAAAAACATTCATTTAATAACCACACTTATCGCCTCGATCACACACCTTCTCAGGAAATGACCCACCTTCGTCCACCGGCAGAATTGGATTTCAAACGGTTGATGTGCTTCTGTCAGGGTTCTGGCAAACAGCTCCACAGGGACGACAGGATCTGGCCATGGAGTTGGTGCCCTGGCGTGTACATTTGCACAGTGCAGTGGCGTCAGTCGGTAAAGTTTCTATGGTACTGACGCTCCATCAGCCTAATGGGGAATCGGCAGCCGACGCCGCAGTACAGGCACCATAGTCTGTACCGACCGTGTCACGCTTTCAGTCCTGATTGGTGACCGTGAGCCGAACAGCCCTATGACTCTTTTAGGCCTGGAGGTAGTGTTGTATTAATGATTATCGGTATACACAGTGAGTAAATTCGTAGGTGTACTTACAAATATATCAATCCGTCAGTTATCAGCGAAGGAAACGTCACAACTCGCATTAGGATTGCTTCAGTAAGTGATCAAGAGTAGATAGGCTTGCAACATGTAGAAGTTGCACGTGTTGAACAATATCGGAACCTGTAATAAATGTGTTCGTCTTTGCAAACACATCATGGATAGAACATGTGACAGTCGCGGTGACAGGATGCGCCGCTGTCCGTGCGTTACCGCCGTGTGTAGGGCTGTCCATTGTTCCCCCACTGACGTCAAAGGTCACGACAGGAGCGACCTGAGGCTGGCACGGCGCCGGCCGCAGCGTGCCGGCGGGCCTGTGTGCACAGAGGACGACAGCAGGGGCTTCCTGTCCCCGTCAACATGCCATATTGATGGACTGGAAGCCAAAATGTCAGGTGCACCTGCCACCTTTGCCATGAAATTTGCAAAAAGAAAAGAAAAAAGAAGAAGATTTATTCTGTTCGTTGTGTACGCTTCTACGCCTTCTTCAATCGTTCGCCATTCCCACTTCGGTTAGCCATTCTAATACCAACTTTAACTTTGTCTGTAAAAATCCACCATCCAGTGTTGACCGTCGCAGTCCATCGCCGACGGGATTCCGTCCATCGGTCCACTTTATACCATCCACACTCCACAGTCCACCGTCCACCACCATACGTCCACTACAGCCGCCCACCCCCGTTTTCCAGTCTTCCGTCTAATCCCCGCTGAGTTCGCCCTCAGCCGCTAAGTGGCCGGCCTTCACGGCTCGTCGTTAATAATGCAGCAAAACGGGCGGTGGGGCGGCTCGGCGGGGCCTTCCGTCCGGAGGTGGCCCCCATTAGCCAGCTCTGCTCCGGACGCGGCAGCACACGAGCACGCTGAACGCTCGGTTTGTGACCCAAAACTGGGAACGTGCGAGCTACCTGCTGTCTCAGCGGTCAACTGCGTGTTTCCTTTAAAGTAGTTCACCTGCAGATTAGGTGTGACGTAATTTTTACAGCTGTAGCATGCACGAGGGCACGCTGGCACGGAAAGCGAAACTTGTTGACGCACAGTTGACAGGATGGGGGCATTGCATTGGGAAAATGAGACAAAAAAAGACGTGGTTCTACAGCTCGTTCACAAGGAGTCCGACTCAAGCTGCATGCACGTAAAGGTGACGTAACGTCCAAGGAACAAACTCTCTCATCTAAAATTACACGTTCCTTCGGGAACTCTTGATTAGGCACAGCAAACTTGGGCCTTAAAACATCGAATTACGTCTGTCTCTCGCTGGTATTGCAGAGGAAGTTGGAACATTGCGCAAAAATTAGACGGGTCGTTTTACCTTCATTTGCAACAAAACTTCCGAGCCTCATATGGACGGTTCTCAGCGAGACTTTGGCATGTGCTATGATACTGTAAAATGCATTTGGAGGGTGATGGAAATAAAATTGTAGGTAGGCTTACTTTTCATTTGCTTGTTAGCTCCAATCTACAGCTGGTTTAACTGCGACAATGAGCGATACACACTAAAAATGTCGGTTAAGGCCACTGACCAATAGCCAACAGTTAGGTATTGTTATGACGGTACGACTTTGTCGAAATCGCCAGCGGGCTTTTAGGGCCCAATGCTCGTCATCTGAGCGCCGATGAACAATGCAGTGTTTTGCCATGGTGAAAAGGAGATAATAAATGTTTTATGAATGGCGTATGTAAAGACGGATTTGTGCGTATGCCGTATTTAATGTGTATGATTCTGACACGGTGCGGGGTGCCTGAATATGATCTGTGTGAAAACTATGCAAAAACTCGTGTTTGTTAATTAATGCCATTTCTATAGTTTATCGAGGAAGACCTCCAGTAAAAACGCCAACCACGTATTTGTTTCGTCGCTGCAGGGATGCAGAACCTGAGCATCTCGTGCGCGCTGGTGAGCCTGATCCTGCTGGTGGCCTCGGCCCTGGTCGGACTGTTTGGCGTGCTGCAGAAGCAGAACTCGGCTGTGCTCATCACCGGCTTCATGTACCTCATGGCAGGTCAGTCCGGGCCGGCAGCGGCGCGAGGGTCTGATGGAACGGTTGTGAGCCGTAAGGGTCTTGTGGCAGGTCAGTCCTGGTCGTCTAATGCGCGATGGTCTGCTAAAATTGGCACAACATGGGCCTGTCGTCTGTGTACATTCAGTACGGGTGACAGATGGCCGGTCAGTTGTGTGTCTGATGGCCGGTCAGTTGTGTGTCTGATGGCCGGTCAGTTGTGTGTCTGATGGCCGGTCAGTTGTGGGTCTGAAGGCCGGTCAGTTGTGTGTCTGATGGCAGGTCAGTTGTGTGTCTGATGGCCGGTCAGTTGTGTGTCTGATGGCCGGCCAGTTGTGTGTCTGATGGCCGGTCAGTTGTGTGTCTGATGGCCGGTCAGTTGTGTGTCTGATGGCCGGTCAGTTGTGTGTCTGATGGCCGGTCAGTTGTGTGTCTGATGACCGGCCAGTTGTGTGTCTGATGGCCGGTCAGTTGTGTGTCTGATGGCCGGTCAGTTGTGTCTCTGATGGCCGGTCAGTTGTGGGTCTGATGGCCGGTTAGTTGTGGGTCTGATGGCCGGTCAGTTGTGGGTCTGATGGCCGGTCAGTTGTGGGTCTGATGGCCGGTCAGCTGTGGGTCTGATGGCCGGTCAGTTATGTGTCTGATGGCCGGTCAGTTGTGTGTCTGATGGCGGGTCAGTTGTGCGTCTGATGGCCGGTCAGTTGTGTGTCTGATGGCAGGTCAGTTGTGTGTCTGATGGCCGGTCAGTTGTGTGTCTGATGGCCGGTCAGTTGTGTGTCTGATGGCCGGTCAGTTGTGTCTCTGATGGCCGGTCAGTTTTGGGTCTGATGGCCGGTCAGTTGTGTGTCTGATGGCCGGTCAGTTGTGTGTCTGATGGCCGGTCAGTTGTGGGTCTGAAGGCCGGTCAGTTGTGTGTCTGATGGCAGGTCAGTTGTGTGTCTGATGGCCGGTCAGTTGTGTGTCTGATGGCCGGCCAGTTGTGTGTCTGATGGCCGGTCAGTTGTGTGTCTGATGGCCGGTCAGTTGTGTGTCTGATGGCCGGTCAGTTGTGTGTCTGATGGCCGGTCAGTTGTGTGTCTGATGACCGGCCAGTTGTGTGTCTGATGGCCGGTCAGTTGTGTGTCTGATGGCCGGTCAGTTGTGTCTCTGATGGCCGGTCAGTTGTGGGTCTGATGGCCGGTTAGTTGTGGGTCTGATGGCCGGTCAGTTGTGGGTCTGATGGCCGGTCAGTTGTGGGTCTGATGGCCGGTCAGCTGTGGGTCTGATGGCCGGTCAGTTATGTGTCTGATGGCCGGTCAGTTGTGTGTCTGATGGCGGGTCAGTTGTGCGTCTGATGGCCGGTCAGTTGTGTGTCTGATAACAGGTCAGTTGTGTGTCTGATGGCCGGTCAGCCCAGTCAGCCGTCGCTCGTCACCTCCGAAGGCATGTCCGTCCTGATCTGTATGTGTGTGTGTGTCTTGTGCGTCGGACGGTAGCTCACCGCGCACTAAGTGGGCGTCTGAGAAAGTTCTGTCACTCTGGTTTGTTTGATGTAAATGATCGCCCGGTATTTGTATCGTGAACTTTGTCATCATCCGTAGTTACTTTCAATGCAATCTTCCCTTTGACTATGCACCTTGCACAGTTATACAGCGTGATCATTGCTAAGCGTGATCCAGCATTCTTTAACCTTAAAGTGGTACTAACCATCGCTTTGGAAGGAATGCTCACCCAGTGCGATGGGACATTCAAAATGCATATTTAATATCACTTTCGGGAAATAAATGTCGTCAGTATACGCGACACACATTCCTGTGGGAACCACGCGCTTAGAAACGAGGCAATGACGTTAACGGCAGTGTGCATTATGTACGTAGGTGCTTGTGGTATTTAAGCTGACTTACAATTAACAGGAATCTCAAATTCATGACACTTCGTTCAAGCATTTCACCAAAATGATACTTATTCTCGAAAAAAAAGAAGAAAAGAACAGGAATGCACATGCATAGCTTTGTCCGTCCAGATCGTCTTCATGTAGGTATTAGGCTCTAACACTATACTTGAGAGCATTATCTTTGCGCGCTAAATTTGGGCCAAAAGAGCGCTGAATGAGTTCTAAGGTCTAAATATAGCGGAGCAGCGCCGCTGGAAGCCGCTGCGCCCATCGCTGTTGTCCATTTTCAGAGCTCACAGAGGGTCGATAGAGTCGTTTTCGCCGGGCTCGGGAGACAATCGGTGGGGTTGGCGGGGCTGGCGGGGGCAGGTGCGACCTTGCCGGCGCCGGCGGCCGGCTGGCACGGCGTGACACCCGGCTCACGGTCCCCTCCCACGCGCGCGAGCCGACGCCGCAGGTCGATCGCGGGTCGACACCGGCCGGCGGCCGCCACCAGTCCTTTATCGGAGTCATTAGCGGACGGACGGATGGCCGCGACTCGGTCCCGGCGCCCGACATGTTCCGCTACTCCAACCCGCTCCTTCCTACCGACGACGGTCCGCCTCTTCCAGCGCGGACCGTCTCCCTCTGAGCTGCCCGCTTCTGAGGCATCTCCAGCAACATGAAACCTACAGCTCTGGCAATGCAACGCTCTGCCTGTCCGCCCAGCGTGGAGTAGCCCCCCCCCCCCCCCCAGTTCCGCGGGTCGCGGACTGCGGGCTCATGCTGCCAGTTCCGCCCGGTGCGGCAGTGCATCTCCCCAGTTGCGCGGGTCGTGAGGCTGGGGGCTCGTCATGCGGCGGTGACAAATGACCGTCTGCCGTGGGTAGGCGATGTTTCATTTCAGAGGTAATGGAGCCGGCGTATGCACGCGCCGACCTCCTCAGACGGCCGGTTCCTAGGACGGCAAAACTAGGAACGGGTAGGTAGTCTTCTAGGAGCCGCTCGTAATTCATAGATGACTGATGATGGGGATGCGAGGGTGCGCAGGGGGTGGGGTTTCTATCAAAAGCATTGTAATGAGATGGCGACCAGCCAGCCGTTTTTTTACCTACCTATACCTTATTCAACGTGACATTTTACATTGATAAAAAATATTTTATATTCATAAAATTTGTAAGCTAATGATCATTTAAAGTCAGAATGCTCACCTGTCAGATCATCGGGCCAAATATAGCCGCTCAGTAGTGACAACAGGGCAGGTAATGACCGGGGACATTTTAGTAAGGCGCAATGGACGACTAACATTGTGCGTATACATGAAGGCATGATATTCTCGTTATCAACATAGTGGAGCAGTAATTCTATAATGAGTCGGAATTCAGAGGAGGCCAGATCGTTCAGAAGCCCCTGTGCGGGCCGGAGATTGGCTCCATCCGATGACAGCTGATTTGTGTGACACTTATGACAGTGTCAGCGGTGTCGGGCCAGCACGTGCTGGCATCCTGCCACAGGTTCAGTTCACAGCGTCAGGGTCAGATCACCGGGAAGTACCAGCAGTCATTCGAACGTTAAACGCATACACACAAATATGTAGGTGCCGTTTATGTACGCAAGCAAGTATCTACCACAATGAACTTAAGAATGATCGCGGTAATGTTGCAATATTCAGACCGCATTAGTAGGTAGGTATTGGGAAGTTGCTATATGAAATGCATATCGAAAACATAGCACAACGAAGAGATGGACCCTGGTCAGAACCGGATGGTTTGACAAATCTGCCATTTATAATGTCGATGCTGCCTAAAGATTTATTGAAATCATAACATATCAGCCATGGGTGGTCTTATTAGACACAATTGAAATAAAGCCTATTTGTTATTTGTTTGATGGCTTCAACCAATCATTACCTCTGAGGGCAAATGGAAGTTTTATTAGCTTTCGCTCGGACCTTGACTTTCAGGTATCACCGATTCAGGCTGCCACCTGCAACTGGTCATTTTACGACATTGAGTTAGCTCGGAAAGTGGCGGTTCCGGGGGTCAGTTCGTCCCGATTGGGAGTGCCGTCAGCTAACCGACCACCGTCTGTTTCAGCCATTTTCTCCACCTTCAGCTTCTCAATAATTCACTTCAAGCGCAAAACGAAGCGCGACTGCGGGGTGCTGGACTCGCAGATCACGCACGAGTTTTACAACAGCCGCACGTTCCAGCCAGGTGAGTTTTACAACAGCCGCACGTTCCAGCCAGGTGAGCGGGCTGCGCCCCGCCGCGCCGGTGTGGCGCGGCTGGTCCGGAGAGGTGCCATTTGTCTCAGCTCTGGGCCGGGCAGGGAGCCGGCAGCGCCGCCTGGTGAGGCCGGACCCGGCAGCTCGGAGAGGTCGACCAGGGCGCCGTCTGGCCTGCTCAGGTCACCTGTGGTTAATGCAGGGTTACTTTTAAAGGGGGGAAGAGGGGAATTTCCCCCCTTCGAAAATTCCGCTCCCCCTTTCAAATCGTGTCTGAACGGCTAGGGAGGGAAGGGGGAATTTCCCCCTTTCAAATTTATTTTTGAGCCCATTTTCAATCAATTCGCTATTCAGATTATATAGTCATCGTCAATCAGATTCTCGTCATCAATCAACGTTGCTGGCGCTTAGATGATTGTTAATTTTCAATTTTCGGTTCCATCCAACCATTTTACGTTTAGTGTAACGGGAAGTCCAGATTTGATCCGAAACTGATCGGATGGTCGGTGGTACCATCTCTTGTCTTGTCTCTTCGCACTCACTGACATATCGGTACAGGCGTCGGCGTAGAAACCGGCGGGGGACGGGATGACCTCTCCGAACCAAGGCCCTAAAACATAGCTCCGAACCAAAGGCGGATACAAGGGGGAGGGGAAGGGCAACGGGGCCATGGCCCCTCCTTTGACGCAAAAAGAAGGTGACCTCCTTTTGGACCCCCGTTTATATTCTGTGTTCTTTCTCAGAAACGACCCATTTGTTCACGATTATTTTCACTTTTACATCGACGCCTAGGTCAGACATCTAAAATTGTTGTCCCAATATGACAATGGCCGTGTTTAACCATCCTCCAAACTGGAATCGTTGAAGGAAAAACAACGTTATTTTTGTCCCATAGGCATCAAAGCATAATAAATAAATGTTTTCTCTTTATGCAGCATTCACGTTCATCTGCTTTGTATGCAGAGCAGGGCGCAAAAAATGTACCTCATCACGGCCGGCTTTCCCAATGGAATTTTCACTGCTCACTAATACTAATAGTAATAATTCAAGTTTTGTGCTTCATTAGTTTTTGTTCGGATATCACTGCCCACCTTGTAGTTGTAGAGGTTGCAGTTTTGTAGCGCCGTCGTTTCTCTACATACACGACCACACAAAGAACTTTGGAATTGCTCGTTAACTGTAGGTTTTGTGAGCGTTTAAGAATTTCATGTTTTTTGCTCATTTTTGCTCGAACAGTTTGAGATCAATTACTCCTGACCTACTATAAGGTGACATAAGACTTGAAAGTTTGTGTGAAGGTTTCAAATTGATGCCCGGTAAGGTACTAAAAATTTGGCGACGCTGCGCGCCGCCGTTTTTCACTTTTCAAGAAAAACCCACATGGGGGCCAAAATGACCTCCAATCAGGGCGCGGGCTAACCTCTCTCTTTAGAAAGGCGTTACTTAATGTTTGGCCGGGGTATACTACTTATTGATACTACTGATTCGCATTTGCAAGGGCGCAGTCAAGTTGGGACCTCCCCCGCCCCTTACAGCCAAGGTAGGTACGTATATTTTTTAGCAAAATTATTTTTTGGCAACCTTCCAAAATAAAGTGGGTGAAATCCGGGGAAAGAATAGGATTTGGGGGTAGGTAAAGTTCTGCGGGCTACATCCTAACGAAAAACCTAATGGCATTGCCGCCCACCCCCTTTCAGATGCCCCTGGATCCGCCTTTGCCCCGAACTTTATTCCCCCTCTCAACTTTTCCTGTAAAAGTAACCCTGGGTTAGTGGAACGCTTGTGGAATGAATTGATACAATTTACAATGCACGGACAACCTGATGCAACTTTTTTTAACGTCAGGGCTTGCCGGGTAATGGGTTGAATAGAAACTTCTCTGTCAGTGTTCCGGCTCCCTCGAGCCGCCTGGATTTAGTACCGACGTTCCAGTCAGAGCCGTAACAGTCGCACTGGGTCCGCCGCCCTCGGTCAGTTGACGATTATTAGCCATCGGCAATATTCGGCTCTGGTGGCCGACATTGCCCGTGTCCAAACGGACCGTTTTAGACCGGCTGTCCAGCGATCCGTTTGGTAGGTATATGACCGATATCGCCACAGACGAATGAGCACCGGCCGGGTCATGTGTTTACCGAACGGCAGTTGGATCAATACCGTGGACGTTTGATTCACGATGATTCACAGACTCGGTGAAATGTCAGGGGGTGAGCTGCTGCGTTTTAACAGCGCGCGCGTGTGCCCGGCAGGCTGGTCACTGCAGATCGGCTGGACGGGCGTCACCATCTGCCTCACGGCCAGCCTCTCCTGGATCTTGCTGGCCCGCTTCATGCGCTACACGCCTGGCTCGTCCCTGCTGAGCTACTGAACTAACGAGCGCCCGGCTCCTCCCTGCTGAGCTACTGAGCGCGGGAGATCGGCGCTGAGAGACAGCTCAGGACCACAACACGGCGACGACAGGAGTGTCCCGGAGGACGTCAACTTTCGAGCCGGCAAACAACTCCAGATGAGCGGCCGTATCGTCAAACTCCAGACCGGCTCACTCATCTAACTCCCGAGTGACACTCGTGTGCTCGTTCGGCCTGTCCGGTGCAATCGCGGAGTACGCGGAGACATGCACCCTCGAAGATACGGCTGCATACGAACCACCTGGCGTCCCTCGGCACGGGAGTTACCGAATTGGGGGGCCGACGCTCGCATCTGATCCCGCCGATCGCGTCTCGAGGGAGGCCGACAGAGGCCCGATACGCTCCAAAGGCGGCAGGTAATGCCTCTCTGACCGGTGCGGAGAGGAGGCTGCCTGAATAGAACATGTGCCGAAGTCTCGGAGCGGCGAGCGGCGGCCGCGGGGGCGTGCTGTGTACTGCGCCGTTGGTTCAGTGAAAACACCGAAACGCTCCAGAAAGACGGGAGATGGGCGGGGCGGGGACGTGGAACGAGAGCAGGAAAAGAGCGGACGAGTGGTTAGACTGGAGGTGACACGGGCGAGAGACTGGTGGGGCGGTGAAGTAGTGTAGGTAAGACGAGGCAGAGCCCTTCTTTGAGAGAAAGCGACATCCTGTGTCGCTGTTTGACAACGTATTGTCGGCGTTCAAAGGCTCCGTTTATCTATGAATGTCTTCTGTGATGAATTAGCAAATAGTGAGACAAGGAACCAATTCCAGCCGTTTGAAAAGGCGAACCTGAGTATTGCATTATCAGTCACAGTGCAATTGAGATAAGTTGTGTCAATTTCCCTGACATACTGCAGTGCTTTTTAATGTTCTAATATGTTGAATATGTTCGCTATCGAATATGTCCGATATTACCCAGGTACTATGAGTATCCGTCTACCAAGGGATTGGTGTGGGATATAATATGACCGCTATATATAGCCCACAGCTACATATAGCCCCGACGCAGCTATAGCTGGCGAGAGAGGAATCAGCACATTTGCCATCGACGTTCATGAAATAATCGGTGAACTTTTAATTGCAATATTACACCGATTATGGAGGATATAGGGAATATCTGGATTCTGTGCCCGCCGTCTTGGCATGCTTTATTACGTTCATTCATCGACGTGTTGATGCCTATTCGATACCGCTGATTCGCTAGCTCCTGTTTCGCCAAAATGCAATGCGACGTGCATAATTCGTTAAATAGGTAAGCTAAGCATATCAGTCGATAAATATTGATAGACTTGGGAAATACAATGCCTGATGTTATGGTTTATTACAGCTAATGAAATTATCACAAACAACTTAAAATCATTTTTGTATTTTTCACGAAATATATTCCCTTTGCCCTGATCAGTCATTAATGCCCAATGGTACCTACCCAGCACCACACGGATTTTCCGGGATAAATAAGCCACTGCTTCCTCGCGACTGGCCGATTGCTTATATACCTACATCAGATCCAGGGCTAACATTACCTAATAGGCATGTACAACTTTACGGAAACACACTGCACGGCGTCGCTATGTAAAGTGATAGCCCGCGCATGACTGGGGGAGGGGCTACAGAGTCCCTCTCCCGTTTTCTGCAATATATCTTCTAAATCGCAGAATGCATCGCGACGCATCGAGAATGCATCGATAACTTTCAGTAGCTTCGACTTCATCAAGTTAACACGTTGTGTTCAAAGGAAAGCTTCGTAGTTACTATGGGCCGATCGGAAATGTCATAGCATGGCGTCGTAATCGGCTGATTTTGATGCAATACCAAGAGCCTATTAACTAGCACCAATGTCTTTGTATGAGAGGACTCACAATACTCAGGGTTATAAAACTGCTATGTCTGACTTTCAAAATTGTACCACTTTATGATCTTAGGTAACATATACAATCTCAAAAACTACAATTTTGAAATGTTAACCAATAAATTTTTGACTTTTCGAGAAAAAAAAACGGACCATATGTGAGAATAGGGAGGTACACACCGATGACATAGGTACCTACTTTGGAAGTTTAAGCCCGATATTAAAAAAGACCAAATTATCCGCTTTTACATCTTATCATAGAAAAAAACTCACCATTTTCAATTCAACTTTACTTTTCAGCACATTCATCGTACACCATAACAGATAGCACCATCATGTTTCTGAGATCAAACTGGCTCTCATACTCATTTTTTGTTGTTGAAAAAATATCAACTTCAAAATTTCACCTTTCTTACCTAATAGTGACCTGAATTCGCTATAGGTATGCAGCTGAAAATTGAATCGATGACACAGACGACACTTATTTAAAATGTAGGTATGATAGAAATAGACCATGACACGTGAGTGACGTGACCAATACACATGTGAATTACGATTTGACCTAACATGACCATACGATGTACAAGCTCGATACTTTCAGTGTATCTTTAGCACACATTCACCAAATGCCCTAAATGCCCCCCCCCCCTCTCGGATCCGCCAGTGAGCCCAGCCAAAGGCCCAAGAACCACACTACTTGTCAGCTCTGTTATTCAACTGACCGACAGTTGTCCAGATATCGTACCCTGTTATCAGCTAACGTCCCCCGGAGCGCAGCCGGCGCGGCTCAGGGCCTCCGGACGGACGCTCGGGATGGTCTCTGCCGAGAGGTTGTTTATCCGCCGTCCAGTTGCCAGCCCCCGATAGCCGCCGGTTGGACGTGTCCGTCCAGCGGCAGACTGCAGAGGGGCGGCGACCGACATGGCCGTGCCGCTGCCGCTGCTGCTGGGCCTCCTGCTGGCCGTACTGCTGGTGTGGGGCTGGCGGACCACCAGACGACCGGCGTGGGCACCTCACGGTCAGTACTTTACCCACAGGGCCCACTGCTCAGGCTAACCGTTTCGTTGTTTCCGTCCTCAGGATAGTCAAACTCAAATCCTTCTCCTCCACGCCTCGACCCCCTGCTCCGGGCTGGACAGGCAACTTTATCCCATGCGGGAAGCTCCCAGAGGAGCAAACCTGTAGCCGGGTGCAGTGAGTGTTAGGGTGCTGGGTGTCCTGTCTTCTGGATGGGCTCAGCCCCGACGACTCACTATGGTTCCCGCCCAGACCAATGTCTCCCCATAATTCCTGTCATCGTTCCGGCTCTGAAATAGTCTCGTCAGACCGAAAGAGCTTACCTTCCCCCCCCCAAAAAAAAACAACTGCTGGCCGCACTGCTGGTCTAGGATGTCGGGCCACCAGACGGCTAGCGTAGGCACCTCACGGCCAGAGGCGGGCAAACGGAGAGGCCTGCGCAGCTTAATTCCGAGCAGTGAGCGCAAACAACTGTATGGCTGATCGGTTGTCCCTCAGGCCTCAGCAGTGCCATGGTGTCTGACAAAAGCTGCACTTGTCCAGCTTTAAACGTCTGATAAAAAGTCGCACTTGTGTGTTTTCAGGCCCTCCCCTGTTGCCATGGGTGGGCAGCGCGCTGTCGTTTGACGTCGGTCACGGCCACTGGTCGTACAGCCGCTGGGCGGAGCGGTACGGCGGCATCTACCACGTGCGGCTGGGGCCGCTGCACCAGGTGGTGCTCAGCAGGCCGGACCTGATCCGCGAGGCGTTCGGTCGCAGCGAGGTGGCCGGCCGGCCCGACACGGCCCTCTCCGAGTTCGTCGTGCGCCGCCAGGGCCTGGCCTTCTCGGAGGGAGCGCTGTGGCAGTACTCGCGGCGGCTCACCCTGCACCACCTGCGCAACTTCGGCATGGGCAAGTCCAGGATAGAGACCTACATCCACCATCAGATCAAAGGCTACATGGATCAGTTCCTGACGCCCAACATCGGAAGAGCCGTAGAAATTGATCAAACGCTCAACGTCGCGGTGGTCAACATCCTCTGGAAGCTGATGGCCTCGGAGGAGCTGGACATCACCGACCACAAGATCCAGAACATGATACAGGAGATGATGGAGGGCGTCAACTACGCGGCCAAGCTCGTCATACTGGATGTCTACCCGTGGCTGAGAGCGATCCTCCCAGAGTTCGTATTCAACAGGGCGAAAAAGGAAAGAGAATTCGGTGAGACGGTTCGTCAGGCATTTACGCCAGCTTTGGAGGAGCATCGAAAGGACCTGAACCTGACTGGTGAGCCGCGGGACTACATGGAGGCCATGTTGCAGGAGCAGCACCACCGCCCGGAGAGCGTGACCGACTGGCACCTGCTCATGTGCCTCCGCGGCCTCTTCATCGCCGGCAACGACACGACGGCCAACACGCTGCGCTGGGCGCTGGGCTTCCTCTGCCAGCGGCCGGACGTGCAGCGCCGGCTGCAGGCCGAGCTGGATGCGGAGGTGGGCCGCCAGCAGCCGCCGACACTGGCCGACCGGCAGCGGCTGCCCTTCACCGAGGCCGTCATCCTGGAGACGCAGCGGCTGGCCAACGTGGCGCCGGTACTGGTGCCGCACCAGACCACGGCGCCCGTCACCGTGGGAGGCTACCACCTCCCGGCCGGAGTACAGGTGATCGGGAACGCCTACTCGGTGCACTGCAGCGCCGAACTCTTTCCCGAGCCGTTTCAGTTCCGGCCCGAGAGGTTCGTCGATGCGCAGGGACAGTTCAAGCCGGACAGAAATGTGATGCCGTTCTCAGTCGGCAAGCGACAGTGTCTCGGGGAGGCGATGGCGCGTGCCGAGCTGTTCCTCTTTCTGACGGGACTCCTGCAGAACTTCTCGTTCGCCTGGCCGGAGGGAGAGACCCACGATTTCTTGGAGGATGTAAAAAACCCTTCATTCGTTCTGAAGCCGGCACCGTTTAAGGTCGTGCCAAGTCAGCGCTGAACCCAGCCAATTGTGATGTTTGTCTGCAAACGCCAATACACTGTTTGTATGAAATTCCTGGTGTTGTGTCATGTTTACCTCTAAAATATCTAAATCGAATCCTTGGGATAAAAACTTTCCATTCTCAGAATAGCTAAGAGGCTTATGCATTTTAACCCGCGCCCCACTGGGGTCTGCGTATAACACGCCCTACAGGGGGGGGGGGGGGCACTTCGGAGCCCCCCTCCTAACTCCGAAACTACTGGGCCGATCGTCAAAATTCAAACGGTGTCTGATAGCCCCGGAAAAACTGTCGAGCGAAACCTAATTTCATTGACCTTGAGGTCAGCGATGACGTCACAGGTCAGGTCAAAGGAGAAATTATTAGCATTTTGGCTTGTTCACATTTTGGGCTCTGGCCGCCGTCTTACAAGTCAGATCAAGCTCATTTTTGGTTTACATACTCGTGAATAATTAGATGCTTTAGATACCCTGAGGCTGCCAAACTTGTACCTTGAGTTGTACTTGAGTTGAATTTAGCTCAGGTCAGGTCACTTTCGGGTCAAAAAGGTCAAATTTTGAAGTTAACATTTTTCAACAAAAAAGGTGTGTATTGGATGCAGTTGAGCTCAGGAACACGATGACGCTATTTATATTGGTGTATGATGTCAAATACGTACTGAAAATTGATTTTAAAAATTTATAATTGTGAAGTTTGTGCAATAATGCGCAGTAGCGGCGGAACACCTTCAATTAAAGGGACCCTCCCACCTTCAAAAAAGTTAATGAATTGACATGAAAGTGATGTCGCTCGGTTCAGAAAGAGCAAAAATTAATATCTACCAAATTTCATCGAAAAATATTCACCGGTTTTCAAGATATTAGACTTTTACTTTTGTTTACTTTTTGGGATCTCCGCTGTTCCTAGCGACTTTATTTGAAAGTGCGGCATTTGTTGCGCGCAAAGCAGCATATACCACCGCGCGTGCTGCCAAACGTTTTAGTAAAAGATTCAAAAATCGTTAGATCTCCGCTGACGTCACAAATTCTAAGGGGGCATACCAATGCATTAGCCCCTTAGAATCCGAAAACTGCAAGTTTGAAATTCCATATCTCCGAATTAAAGCATTTTTCGATGTTGTAAAGTGAATGCCCAAACCGGTATTTTCAGGCCATGGCCACCAATTTGGCTATCTCAACTCAAAACTAATGTTAACCCGCGCCCCGTAGGGCTACCGGCGGACCCTACCACCCGTAGGGGGGGGGGGGGGCCGTTTCGGCCCCCCCCCTAAGATCTCGGAAAGTTAACGGCCGATTTTCAAAATTCAAACGGCGTTCGATAGCCCCACCCGGGAACTACCTTGTGACCAAATTTCATTGACCTAGGTCAAACCGATGACATCACAGGTCAGGTCAAAGGTCAGATTTTCACCGTTCACAGGCAATTCAAGAAATGTGCTGTGAAAGCGAGTAAATTGGTAATTTATTGAAAAACATCGATGGTACATTGTTCGTCAAACACATACTTTGCTATCTGAGGTCACTGATACCAGGTCAGGTCACAGCGAGGTCAGGTCACCGGGGGTCACAATATGAATGTGTCGTGTGATACATGTTTTA